CCCGCCACACCCCACAGCCACACCTACACCCACACCCCACACCTACACCCACACCCACACCCACACCCTTTTTCGGATAAAAGTTTATTTTTTTAAGTACAAATCAAATCACGTTGGAACTTATAAATAAGTCAGTAACAAGATATTTTTTGTTAACAATCAAAATAGAATAATTCTTAATAATTGTCTACTGTTGGGACCTTTATCAATAAGTTATGAAAAACACATAAAAAATATACGAAAAAAATGTTCAAGTATGTTTTAATATTATTGTCATAACATTATTGAAGTCATATTTTCGACAAAATATAGTTTTGATTAGTTCAGTCTATTAAAAATTACTTTCTTCTTTTTGTTTTTGAATTAAATAAAAATGTATGGTCATTTTCTAATTATATTTTGCCACAAAAACTTTGATGATGACAGGCGTTTGCAGTTTTATTTAGTTCTACTGATAATTGATTTTCTCCTTGTTCAAAACAAACACTCAATATCAAAATAATGTTACATTGATATGTTAATCCTCTTATGGTATTTAAGCCATAAAAATATTTATTTGAAGAAAAACAAAATTAAGTCAACATTCTGTGACATTTCTACGAAGTAAAAATCAAGTAAATCGAACCTTTTCATATTCACACCTTCATTGAGTACGCATTAACAAAAAAATGTTTTCTTATCTTTTTTACCAACTACTTTTGACCATTATCATGGCTATAACAGTCATGTCTGAAGATAATCAAGGTACGTAAATAATTACATTCTGATTTTATTTCAAAATTTATTCATTTAACAGAATTCAATACTTCGAGGTGAGATGAGAATTCAATGAGATAAATTTTTAGCTATTTCTTAAATAGATCGTTTTCATTTTATAAAAAGATCGTTATCGGAAACTTAACATAAATTTAGATAATCCCAAATGGAATGGTACTTGGTACGGTTCACTTACAAACTACCCAACGAGACCTGAATCTTCTCCTATGGATGTTTTAATGGAAATAGGACCTCATCCAACCAGTGACAATACTTGTGGAATGTGGCGTAATACGTATACACAAAATGGGCAGGTTCAACAAGTAAAAGACTATCGTTTGTGTCGTGGTCAAGGTGCTGACGATCTTTTTTTTGATGAAGGTAATGGTATTACACTTGATGCACGATGGATTGGTGATGTACTCGTTACACCATTCAAATATGATAATACACTTTTGGTCTCTTGTACACGATTGATTGGAGATATTCTTCAAGAAGAAATACTAATAATTGATGATAAACCTGCTATAAAAGGACCACTATCAATGCGCGCACGTTCTATTCAACGCCTTGACGTGAAGCGTGTTAAATCATGATTTTTTTGTGCTTTGCATTCTAATAAAAATGTTTATTATTTTTAATTCAAGAATAGAAACTAGATAGACTTCTTGGTTGGCTTTTCTCGCATATTGATAATGTTGTAGACAACTCAAAAATACAAAATCTTGCTGAGAAATTTCATTTCATAATTAAAGAAAATAACAGCAATTCATAAATATTTCAATGGATCAAATATTCAATGATAATAGAATTCATCGTGATTGATAACATATGACAAAATTAACAATTATCGATATAGACATAATTTAACAATTACTTTAAGATAATGATTGTTTAAGGAGGCATTCATGAAATGTCTATTGTAAATTTTCTAGAGTTTTTTACACTCTTTTCCGAGTGAATTTGAGAATAGATGAGTTGAAATTCCTGTTTTCTAGAAAGTCTTTGATCTTTCGTGGATTCCAGTTAGGTGTTGTACCGATATATACGTCACCACTCACTGCTCTTCTTCTTTTTCTCTCTTTGTTTCTGCATCACATGTATCCTCGTGTGGAATGTGAAGTGGATACACTCTGGATATGTAAAGTAGCTAATAAACATCATTGCCAAGATTAACACAAGCTACTCAGTTCAGTTTGTATTTACAGGGCTCACTTACTGATTATAATGGAAATGAACTTGAACCTGTTCTAAATCAATTTTCTCTCATGAATTTAAATTTTTTTCTAGTTTACAATACATTGATAAAAGCCACAAGAGTAAAAGATTAGAAAATATGGGTGTCCATGTGAGTGTGGATGTAGAATGTATGGAAAGGATTTAAGACCCACACCCATACACCCCGTAGCCTCGTCTCTTCCATAGTTTTATACAGAATCTAAGTTTTTCTCTCTTGTACACATCATTTCGAAATAAGAATTCTCCCACATAAAGAAACATTAGTTGGAACAATAACAACGCTGATAATATTATAGTTTAAACTGACTCAGATATTACAAAATTCACGATAACACGTATGACCACAGTATATTATCAGGTGATACTTGATGTAAAAGCAGCAAAACATTTTTCGAATAGTTTATTTTGAAAAATGGATGTAAAAGAAAATAGTTATAAAACATGGTTCGATCGTTTACCAAATGAAATTACTTTTCTTATGTTTGATTATTTATCAATTAATGATATTCTTTATACATTCTTTTTCTTCAATGAACGATTTAATAATTTACTATTAAAACATCAACATTATTTTAAATATTTTGAATTACCAAAAACAAATTTGGATTTTTGGAAAAATATTCTCTCAATAATTAATTTACATATTGAGTATTTAAATATAACTACAATTGATTTGACTTTACCATTAACATTATTTCCAAATTTAAAATCAATAATTATATCATCACCATATGGTTTCCCATATGAAAATTTAAAATTAATTTTTGAAAGTTCACTATTTAATAATTTACATTCATTAAGAATAAAAAGAGATGAAATAAAATCAAATATTTTCTATAATGATTTTATTAGAAATGAAGATAATGTTTTAGAAGAAGTTTTCAATAATAAAAATTCATTAAAAATATTTGAATATCCAACAATAAATCCATCATTTACAACAACAGAAGCATATATTAATAATTTCGAACAAAATATTTCTTTACATTCATTAAAATTATTATTAACAGATTTTCAAGATATATTTACATTACTTTTGTTTACACCAAATTTAGAATATCTAAATGTCAAATGTGAAATACCAAAAGATAAACAATCTATGAAGGTAATTAATGTAAAATTAAAACAATTTCATTTAACATTAGTTGACAACATCTCAATGCCACTTGCAGGAAGTTCTGTAGGTATCAATTTTAAACAGTTGACGGATTGTATTAAACAATTTTCATCATCATTAATTTGTTTATCAATTTATTTCAATGTTCCTGTCCCAATTCAAGACGAGTTTTATTTAATTGTAAAGCAAAATCATCACCAATATTAGGGAAAGTTTCAGTAGATAAGATCAAATGTTTTAAATTTGGAAGTTCATCGATTGCATAAACTATTGTTTTTGGTGCAGTTCTACTTAGCAAATGAACAGTTGTTATACTATGTAGTTGAATTTTTTCTTCGTTATTCAAATGTCTTTGTCCATAATTTTTAGGAAGAGTACTACCAATTAACTCGATTTTAGTTAATTTTGGAATCTTTATTTTCAATTCTCGTGCTTGATCTAAGATACAATCAGGACTTGAATAAGACTTAATGATTTTTACATTGTACCATAATCGAGGATTACTTTGTAAAATTTCTGGATAATTTGACATAACATCGTCAATTTTTTTAGGAAGTGCATAAAGATAATCAAAATAAAATGGTAATGTATAGAAAAATGTGCTATGCATTCCAATTAAGTAATTACGATCTAACCAATATTGACCTCTAAATCGAGATAAAATATCATTCGAACCTTTTTTATCGTAGAATAGTTCGATAAAGAAATGAAATTCTTTTAATTCAGTCA